TTTTTTTAAGTCATTGTTTTTTAACTATAAAAACTGTTCTTAAAAGATTAAGATCTCTCAAATGTCTTCTGTAATATCAACAATAGGTTTTCTTTTTTTCCTTTAAGGGGGAGAAAACATGGCATTATCACAATCTGTATAAAGTAAAGCTAAGCTCCAGAGTGCAAACAATCCCAAAATTCAGTATCTGGGATTCATCTATAATCCTTTTGGTTCTTTTACTTAGAGGCTTGGATGATTTCTTTGACCCTACTTTTGGCAGCGTATACATAGTCTGTCTGTTCTATTTTATTATGGCTGGTGCTTCCGGTGATCATCACCTGGCACTAGCATTTTTTAAAACTGATAAGGTCTGCCACTGCAACTAGACTCTTTTTGGAACTCTAGTCCTGCCATACATTTGCAAACCTCAGCTGTTCCCTATGATCCTTTTATGTCTTTAAAACCATTACCATGTTATTATATGGGTAAATCGTAAATTACACAGTATAGCTGCCAGAGCAAGGTATATTCCTGTGTATAAAAGCATTGATGTGTAGCTTTAATATTTATTAAGTATCTTATTTATTAAATATATGTTGCCATCTATTTAAATTCTCTAGAAACTTGCTGTTGAACACTTGGTAAAGACATAAGTACTCAGGTGTTAACCTGAGTAGATCTTTATAACCTTAGTAAAAGATGGCTGCCAGCCATATGGCTGCCCATGAGGTCACCAGCCAAGTTGGAGGGAGCCACGTGGTTGCTGTTTAAAGCTCGTTTTTCTAAACAATAATTATTTGCACACATACACACAATTGGATCCAAGTTGCACACATACATACATACAGTTAAAGCTAGCTTACATTTTTAAATCACATACCTGTCCCCACACACACATACATAAGCAGTTTGCAGAATCATTAGCCATTTTTAAGATGAAAACCAACCAGAATTAACTTTCAAATTCAGTATTTGCAGGTATAAGAAACCATAACAAACAGTTTATATCACATCCCCTCTGACCTTCTACAACCTTCCATGTACCCTCAATCCATTCCTTTGATCAATCAGACATTCACTCTCGACAAATTCTGCTTTTTCTTTTCTTTTAAAACAGAAACTCTTACCAAAGTCTTTCTTGTGATTTCCCTCAATAATCTAGAATATATTGTAACGTTACAATATTTTAAACAAGAACAGAAATACATCCATATACCATAACAAGAATAACTCTAAATTTGCATCAGTACTCTACCACAGACAAGAAACCGTTGGTTAACTTTAAAACATAGCCACGGTAGCTTATCAATCATAGGCAGTGTCATTCCATTCTTGGAGCCAGACCATGATCAGGTTTTAGCCCAGGGCAGGTCTTGGGAACTCCACCCAACAGCATGGGAGATGAAGAGGACGAGGAAGGCATGCACCATGGAGACTAAAGATTGCTGTTAACCTCAGATTTTCAAGTACATGAGAATGGCAGACTGTAGTCCTCTACCAGCCCCCACACTATGAGCTCCTTGAGGCTCCTGCTGGCTCCCACCAGCTCTGCCCAGTGTCCACACGGTAGCCCAGCCAGAACCTGCCGGCCATATCTGGGCCCCACATTGCTCACAGCCCTCCCTAGCACACAGCCATGCCTAGTTCCCATGCAGCCAAGCCTCAACTCCACAGCTTCCTGAGTGAGCTGGGACCCCCGAACCCACTGCATCTAGGCCCTGTGATGCTCACAGGCTGCCTAGCCTTTTCAGTGGTGCCCTGGGTCCCCAAAGTAGCAGCTCCTCCTCATTGGTGTTTTTGATCGTAGCCATTCTGACAGGTGTATGTATGTATGTATATATGTAAGTATGCCACATGTGTGTGGGGTTCCTATTGAAGCCAGAAGAGGGCATCATTGCTCCTGGATATGAAGCTGCAGGCAGCTGTGAACCTCCTGATGTGAGTGCTGGGAACTGAACTCAGGTCTTCCAGAAGAGCAGCAAGTACTCTTAGCTTCTGAGAGTTTTTAAATTTTGTGTTTCGAAGGTTTTAGTTTTTAGGTTCTCTTTCCATGTGGCTATCAATCTCTTTCTTACCCACTTGTGACACAAACCTCATATTCTACACCATTATGAGATGGATGGTTGGGCCACCACCAGCCTGTCTTTATCCAGGGACTGTCACTTGTATCCCTGTTGTGGCAATGTGTTGAGAATAGTTACCTTCTCCAGGGAGTCAGGACTCCACTCCTGCTTTCTAACTGTAGATTCATCTCCTCTGCCAATTCCAGGTCCCTCTCGGCCCTCACAGAACTCTGAACTGGCCATCTCAGCACCATCCTGTTAACAAGTGTTTCTCCTGGTGCTGGTCAAAGTGTGTATATCCTCCTAGGAGAAGCAAAGGTGTGCATGCATGCATGTGCTTGTGTGTGTGCACCTGGACACATGTACAGTCTCAGGTATGAGAAATTAAGAACCATTCAACAAATATTTATTTAAATGTAAAAATTTGAGGGCTGGCATGTAACTCTGTAGGCAGAGCTTACTTAGTGTGCACAAAGCTCTGGACTTGATCCCCAGGACTTTGTTCAATGATGATACACGAAGGAGGATGAGAAGCTCAAATTTATCCTTGGTTATGTACTGAGTTTGAAGCTAGCCTGGGTTATGTGAGACACACTTGCAAATAATAATAAAAAATAGTCAGGAAAAAAAAATGTAAGAGTAAATAGTGGTCATTGGATGGGTGGTTGACACACTTTTGTTTACTTTCTCCTGAATTTTTTGTCCTTGTCCTTACACCTCCACCTGCAAAAAGTGGAGCATTTGCCCCATGCCACTTCTAACTGTACATGACCATGAAGCTTGGTCACAGTGGCCAAGGGGGCTTAACACAACCTCATTCTTCCCATATGACATGCAAAGTGTACCCTATGATTGGCCCCTCTGTCTTTTGTGAATCCATGGTACCTACTGTATGTCACAAACCTCAATTTACCTCAAAGTCATGGGCATCATACCTGGAAATGCCCAGAGCTCTGGCCTTCCTGTGGTCTGAGGTGAATCATGAGCCTGGCCCTTAGGCACATATCTCCTCTAAAGCTCTACTCCAAATGAGGATTTGCTCACCAAGCCTGTGGCGGCTCTGGCCTCAGATTCTGCATGCTCTGGGTATCAGGTGTGTGCTCTCTGCTTTTGTGAAGTTCCCACGGGCTGGGCAGAGAGAATGTCTGTAGGAGGTGGGTGTGTTGCTGTCAGGCAGTGTTCTCATGGGTCCCCATTGACCCTGATACTTGACATTTTGTCAAAGACAAAATAATAATTGTGGCTTCTATTCCTGTGTCTAGAATGAGACTGTCCTTAAAATCAGGACAGGTTCAGAAAATGTGGGGCTGCAATGTACTCTGGAAGAATTTACAGGTGGAAAACATGAGTGAGGTATCTCAAACTTAAGGATTTGTTCAACCCTATCTGCTACCCATGACCAACACCTATGACTGAGTGAAGCCCGGCTTCTCAAAGTAGCACACACCAGTCCATAGGTGACATATGTGCACTACTTAGAAAATTAGGCTAACAGTGTGAGTGTCTCCATATTGACCTGACTGAGGGCTTAGTCCAAAACCACTGGCTTATCACAGTGTTTAATTTTAGGTTTAGTAGATATCTGTATCATTCCAAAGGGTTGCCTTCTTTCATAATCTGTTTCTTTGGTACCTAAATCACAGGTGGGTGTGAATTAAAGGCCATTTTCCTATTTTTCAAATGATCATGGTTTTCTGGTTAATATGTTAACTTTCTAAAAAGCAGTGGTTGATTTTCTTTTCTTTTTTCTTTTTTCATTTTTCTTTATTAAGAAATTTTCTACTCACTTCACATACCACCCACAGACACTCCCCAGCCCTCTCTCCTAAGTAACCCCACATCCCCACATCCCCCAAATCAAGGTTTCCCATGGGTAGTCAGCAGAGAATTGCACACTGAGCCTAGGCAGGTCCAAGGTCCTTCCCACTCACCAAGCCTGTGCAAGGCGTCACACCACAGGCACTGGATTCCCAGAAGCCTGTCCATGCACCAGGGAGAGATCCCGATCCCCCTGTCTGGGTGTCCCCCAAACAGTTTGAGCCAAACATCTGTCTTCCATATCCAGAGGGCCTAGTCTAGTCCCATGGGGTCTTCACAGCCAGCAGTCCACAGTTCATGGGCTTCCACTAGTGTGACCAGTTATTTCTGCATGTCCTCCCATCATGATCTCGACCTCCCTCACCTGCCGAATCCCTCCTCTTACTCATCAGTTGGATTCCTGGAGCTCAGCCTGGTGCCTGGCTGTGGATCTCTGAATCTGATTCATCAGTCACTGGACAAAGGCTGTATGATGACAGCTAGGTTATTCGCTAGACCGGTCACCAGAGTAGACAAGTCTAGGCACCCTCTGGACCACTGCCAGCAGAACGAGTTGGGGTCGTCCTTGTGGATTCCTGAGAGCCTCCCCAGCACCCTGACTCTTTCTATTCCCAGGATGTCCTCATCTATTATGGTATCTTCCTCCCTGCCCTCCCACTCTGTCCCTGTTCGAGCTTGACCCTTCCTTTCCCTAAGTTCCTATGCCCCACTCCTCACCCTCTGTTACCCCTCCCTATCCAGTCTGCTCATGTAGATCTTATTCTCTTCTCATCTTCAGGGTCATCCATGTGTCCCTCCTAGTGTCTTTCCCTGTTAGCTAGCCTCTCTGGAGTTGTGGGTTGCAGTCTGGCCATCCCTTCCCTCACATCTAGTATCCACTTATGAGTGAGTATATACTATGTTTGTCCTTCTGAGTCTGTGTTACCTCACTCAAGATGATTTTTTCTAGTTCCATCCATTTTCTTGTAAATTTCATGATATCATTGTTTTTTACTGCTCCATTTTACACACTCCATTGTGGATAAGTACCACATTTTCTTTATCCATTCTTCAGTTGAAGGGCATCTAGGTTGTTTCCAGGTTCTGCCTATTACATATGAACATAGTTGAGCATGTGTCCATGTGGTAAGATTGAGCATTCCTTAGGTATATGCCCAAGACTGGAGAGATGGTTTGTTGGTGAAGTGGTTGATTTTCTAATGTTAAACTCACCCACATTCCTGAAACATAGTCAAGGTTATAATTCTGAAACTGATTTTTGCAGTATTCCCTTTAGGGGTTTTCACCTCTCTGAAGGTATATGGGAATGAGGTTTCACCTCCTCATTTGTTCTGGAAGGTTTTGACATTGTTCCTGAGCACTCAGTTGCCTGGTAGAATTGTGTAAGGAGGGCATGGACTGCTCCTGGATGTTTTGTGTACAGTGGTTTTTTTTTTGTTCACACTCCTTCTCTGGGAAATAACAGCATCACTGCCTGTCTTAGGGTTTCCATTGCTTTGACAAAAAACACCAGGACCAAAAAGCAAGTTGGAGAGGAAAGGGTTTATTTGCCTTGTACTTCTACGTCACTGTCCTTTACTGAAGGAAGTCAGGACAGGAACACAAGCTGGGCAGGATCCTGGAGGCAGCAGCTGATGCAGAGGCATGGAGAGGTGCTGCTTACTGGCTTGGGGCACATGGCTTTCTCAGCCTGCTTTCTTATAGAACCCAGGACCCCAGCCCAAGGATGGCACCACCCACCATGGGCTGGACCCTCCCCCATTGATCACTAATTGAGAAATGCCTTACAGTTGGATCTTATGGAGGCATTTTCACAATTGAGGCTCCCTTCTCTTTCATGACTCTAGCTTGTGTCAAATTGATGTACTACTAGCCAGTACACTGCCCCTAAACTTCTGCAAGTGTGCCCCACAACTCACTGCCAGACCCGAACAGAGAATCTTACCTTGTTGTTTTGGGTGGGGTTAGATTGACTGATCTCTTCTTGGTTTAAATTTGGTAGTTTGGGTGAATCTAGAAATTCATCCATTTCTTTTAGATTTTCCAACTTAATGGGGTATAGATTCTTAAAGTAGTCCCTTACAATATCCTGAATTTCCTTGGTGTCTGTTGTGACATTTCTTTATTCATTTGTGATTCAGTCACTTTGGGTCCTACCTCTCTTCCTTTTGGTTAGTAGGGTCCAGGGCCTGTCAATCTTGTTTACCCTCTCAAAGACCCAGCTCTCCACATGCCCAGCTGTTGATCTTTTCCAAACAGGCACAGTAGGAGTCCTGAATATGCTAGCTGTCTGACTCAGAACAGAGCTGCTGTGCAATACCTCCTTATTAAAAGAAAAGTCCAGTCCAAACTACATGAATAGATTAATATAACATATCAAGACTAGCTCACACATCCTTTTAGTTACCAAGCTTTTTCTGATTCAGGATTAAAGCAACACTCTTTGCTTGGACTTTTAAATCCCTTTTCTAACCTGACACAAAAAAAATGTTCACATTTTAGTAAGCGTCCTAGCACATTATCAAAAATGACCTTGATGTGAGGGAATAATCTCTGTATACAACCCAGAAAAGAAGGCACACATATACTGACATGTTAGTTGTTATTACAGATTTAGATAATAGAAAACATTTATTCCCCTTTGTTTTAACTAGAAAAGAGGAACTTCTATCCCCACAGTAGAAAAGTCATTTTCTCCTCCTCCAATCCTATGCTTAAATCTACCAGAAGTTCCTGGTATTAAAAAAATGAACCTATGGCTCTCCATCCTCTTCAAAATTTATGAGTGATAATTCATATATTATTTTGTATATCTTTATAAGTGTCCATTTTTTTATACTGGTGACATTTATTAATCATCTTACGATTTTTATATTAGCCAGGGGATTCTCTTATTATTCTCTCCATTAAAAGACTGGCAGTTTGAAAGTGTTAGCTCCTGTTGGTATTGTTGGAGGCACACGGCTGGGAAAAATGCAAGTCTATAGAAAGCTGCAAATATATCTTACAAAACAATGTGCCAACCAAAAACTGCACCATGGAGTTTGGGTATACCCTCCTTAAGACACACAGAAAGTGGGTGGTGGTGGCCCACACCTTTAATTCCAGCACTCAGGAGGCAGAGCGAGGCAGATCTGAATGAGTTTAAGGCCAGCCTTGTCTATGGAGCAAGACCCAGTACAGCCAGAATTTTTACCCAGAAAGTCCCTGTCTTGAACGGCCCCCTCCCCACAAAAAAAATGACACAAGTGTTGATTTTTATCATGTGTTAATAGAGCCCATGTTGGAGTCTCTTCTGAGTCTCCCAATTCCATGATCCCATTAGGAATACAGAAGATGAAATTAAAATGGAAAAGTTGGAAGAGGATGTGTACCTGACTGCCTGTGGCACAGGAAGTCCTAGGAGTGCAGTGATCCTCTGAGGGCTCTCAATACTGGAAACTATTTCAATAGTCACTAACCAAGATAATGGCCAAGTCACATGGTCACCTCTATCTTGATAAAGTCACCATCCAAGATGGCAACAAAGTCACTTGGTTTCTTTCTGTGTGGTGAGCTCAGCTCATGATAAATGAGCCCACACCTCACCAGGGCATGAGACCATGGGGAATATAGAAATGTGGGCGGCCACTGCTTTATTTCTCAAACAATGGATCTCAAGCATGGATATAACAGAAGAAAGTTCCCAAAGAGTACTGGTATGTGAGCTCCAAAGAGCAAAGTAAAGACACAGAAGAGGGACGGCCATGGTCTTGATCCAAGACAGGGCGTCCATATGTGTCAGCACAGAGGTAACTATGAAT